TTTTACATTTGGACATTTGTTATGATGCGTAACCATAACAACAAGGTGGTTTTCTACAACTGGGAGCTGCTGATTAACATCACAAAAGCATTAAAAATACCTCAACTACAGCCCCAAATCCCAAATGAGTAGAAAAGGAGGTGCCGTGGATGCATTCCCGTCTACCTGGAGGCGGTGTTCAAGTGCCTGACCGCAGAGATCTTAGAGGTAGCGGGAAACGCGGCTCGTGACAGCGGGAGGACCGAGATCATCCCCTGGCACCTGCAGTTAAGTCAACGGCGATGAGGGACTCGACAGGCTGCTGGGAGAAATGGCCATTGCTGCTTCCCAAGAGGACTGAGAGGTCTGCTGGGTCTGTGTGGACGGATCGGTATCTGCGGCCAATTTCTTCGGATTTGCTGTGGGACGGACCACTACAAGAGATCCTTCCTGCCCAAAGCCATCAGCATCTAGAACAACTCTAATGAAACCAGGATGATGAGCTACAACAACAATTAATTTGCCTTTGAGATTAATAAAGTATTTTTGAATTTTAATTGAAATGTCACGACTTAATGTTGCTGCAAAAAGCTAATTTCAGCCTCCGTTACTATGAAGTTAAGGAATGATAGAAATGTCCTACACTGCATGTAAAACCAAGCTTTACAACAAGACATGCAATATTTTAGTAAATCTCAGCATTTTGTAAGGCTCTATGTTTTTCTGTGTGTGCAGTTATAATAAAAGAACAAATTAAATCACTAAACAATCAAAATAACATCCTTTTTGTTTTAGGATTCATTCAGATTCTCGTTGTCCTGCAGAGAACACAATGAAAAGTGTGCCAATACATAATAATGAAATCACCTCAGGTTTGAGCGACAGGGTCTTCATGGCTGCAGCTTTTGTAGAAAAACAAGAGGACAAAAGACCTGACAGATAAGCTGCCACATGTGATGCATCACATGGAGCACAAGCTAGGCTCAGATGGAAAAAAATGATCTCAAAGATATAAAGGGATGATTCAAGTAAGACTCAGGGATACCTTGGTCACAACAGGCAGGATGATTTTGTAGGAAACAGACACTGTAATAAATGTTGACAGGAAACCGTAAAAAGTATTTTATCTTGTTGCACTGGTTTTATTATTAATCAGAACCAAGATGGCTGACGCTATCACAGCTGTAAATCTGCAGGTGACTAAGTAATGAAAAACTGCAAGGAAAGCTTGATGAAATGTTTACAATATTGCTGAGTGAGGCTTTCATCTTTGTGATTGATTTGTTTGACCTGCTGATGGAGCTGCAGTGG